TGTAGTTATAGAATATTCAGTTATATAGTTGTAACCCATGTACTTTAAAATATCTCAAATTCAACCTTAACAATTTTACCTATATTCTCATTTAATTATTTAAAAAATCTTTTTTATTATTAAACATAAATATTTGACATTTAAAACATACATATAAAATGGTTTGAGTTTTCAAAATTTTTTTTTTATTGTTAATTAATTAAATAATTTTATTTTTAGTATAAGATATTTAGATATATCATATTTATTTTTATATAATAATATTGAAATAAAAATTTTCCGCATAATAATAAAATTTTCTCTCTACATACATATATATATATATATACTCGTATATATATAAAATATATGCATACTTAAATCTCATTTAAAATTAATAATGAAAAAAGGAGCGCGAATATAAAAACCAAAAATAAGAGAAAATAAAATGGAATCCTTAAATTGTCCTTGAACATTAATAAAATTATTTTTCTCTGTTTTTTTTTTTTCTTTCTTTATTTCTTTCTTGTTCCTCGAACATCAATGAAAAAATTTAAGTGGGAAATTAAACCAACGAATAAAAGTTATTAGGTATTTTTTTCTTTCTTTTTCCTCTTTTCATTTTAATAATATTTTTCTAGATTCTAAAAGTTATGATGATTTGTGAAAAAAAGCAAAACTGAAGCACAAGAAACAAAGAAAAAGAAAAAGGAAAATTTTCATTTTATATTTAGTTAAAAAAAATTTTATTAAATATCCTGATATTTTTATTTTATCGTTTTGCAACTGTAAATTATGAAAATATAAAAAAAACAAGAAGAAGAAAAACAAGAAAAGAAATAACTATAATGCTCCTTTATATTTTCTTTTGAATTTTCAATTTTTCTTTTAATAGTATAAATTTTAACCTGGAGTCCTTGGGTGAAAAAACAAAAAAATTGTAACCGGAATGAATTACAAAACACAAGAAACAATAACAAAAAACAATAATTGTTGTTGTGGTTATCACTAACACTTTTAAAAGCAACCAAACATATTTAACACCCTCATCAAAAGGTCAAACAATTACGTGTTTTTCCTCTACGATGCCACTGTTATTCTTTTATTTTTCATTTTGGTTTTGTTTTTTATTCAATGAATGGCTAAAAATCAACCTTTTTTTTCTTATGGTTTCTGTTTTTTTTTTTCCTTTTTTTGAAAAATTGTCTCGAATACATGCAAATAAATGCAAATATATAAATACAAAATTTGTTACTAACAAAAAAAGAAAAGTAAAGATTTTATTATTGTATGCGTCCTTATAATACAAGAAGCTTAAAAATTGTAATATTGGTGTATAACCTATAAGAAAATAGCAAGCAGGGAAACAGGCAGGCACAGATTTTTATCATTAAATATTAATAAACATAAGGATTATTTATAAATTGAATTCGATATTAAAAACAAAAAAAAAATTGCTTTTTATTAAAAGAGAAAAAACATATTTTTTTTTTTGTCTTTAAAATATTACACAGGTGGCTTAAAAAATTTTCGATTGCATATTAGGAATTTAAAGTTTTGGAGGGTGATAATTTTATTTAGTTTCGAACAAAACATTATTGGGAATAATTTTTTCAATAACTCAGTTTTATTTTGAATGGTGTTGCCAACTTTTTTAACATTTTATATAATATGACACATAAATTAATGCTCTAATGAAAATATATTGTTAAAGCTTAAGCATATGTTAGTCATGTTTAAAAATTTAAATTGTAATTAGATAATATTCTCTTATACTTTCAATGTTTTCTAATAATTCTTAGCTTAACTTAGCTCATTATTATTTCTAAATAAAATTTTGAAGACTTTTACTTACGTTTCGCGTTAAATGATTATTTAATTTTATTAAAGTTTTGCATATAGATTGATATTATGGACTATCATTGGTAGAATTCGTTTTCAACCTTTGGAATCGTGTAGGATGGTGCTTCATATAATAAATATTTGCTATATAGCCGATTATATAAATTTGCTTTTGTCTAATGGAATTTGCCGTGATTGTTTCAGAATTGCTTCATAGTCAGTAGGTTTTGTTTAGTAAAAACTAAAGAAATCTGAGATCTTCGTTATTATTTGATAGATTAAGGATAAAGAATTTGCTACATACAGACTAAAATTTTGCATTCTCAATATTTCAATATTAAAATGGATGATTTTAGGAGTAGAATTTGAATTGTTAACTGAATACAAAATATTTAAGAAAATTTTCACTAACTTTTTAAATTTTATAAGTTTTAAACCAATTTAAATCCCTTTCTTTCCATCATTTCTATTTAAAAATTATGACGTATGCAATTATCTTGGTTAGTAATCGGCTACTGGAATTAAATCAAGTTTTTCACTGGATTTTCGCTTCAACTTCTTTTTTTCATTATTTATTATTAGCAAGCTATTTGTGATAATTGTTATTGTTCAAGACTTTTCAAATAAATTTTTATCTTAATAATTTGGCTTTTCATTTCTTTCTATAAGAAATTCTAAACTTTAACCGCACATCATACAATTATAAATTTCCTATTTTATAATACCTTTTAACATTTTTATTAAAAAATTTAGTATTTTATTAATGCGAGAGAGAAAATTTTCCAAATTATATTCGTATAACAACATAAAAATTAAATTTTATAAACTCATAGTTAACAAAATAAAAAAAGTATGAGAGAAATTGTACCTGATGGTACAAAAAGGTATATAAAAGATAAAACAAAATAATAAAATGCCAAAAAGGAAAAAATAGCAATAAAAAGGTTCTTTTTTTTTCACCCCTTCCCTCTCACTTTTATTACGGAAGGAAAATTAAGGAAAAAAACCATCAAATAAGAAAAAAAGGAAAAGTTGTTTCTCATCCATATATAGAAGACGAAATATAAAGAGAGGAACAAAAAAGGATTCGCGAGTATAAAAAGTTCAGTTATACTGAATATTGTGAATGAAACAAATTTATATATGCCCTAAAAGAAGTTATCCCTTAAGTGTTTTTTAAAAACAAAAATTTAAAAATTCATAGGAAAACAACAAAAATTTTATATTAAAATCATTTTAAGTTAAATATGATTGTAAAATTGTATATAGAATGTTATACACACTAGGTATATACCAAACTTTTGTATAACAAAAAAAAAATTTAAATGCCAAAATTATATTTAAATGGTATGAATATGAAATTACACATACATATACAATATATATAAAAATTATGGAGAATAAGGTATGCAAAAAAAGTGTGAGAATTCTTAATTTTTATTTTCCATAAAATTTAACAGATTTTTCTGTTTTCTTTTTTTTTTGCATTTTTTATACCAGTCATATTTTATTAAAGATATTAAAGATATGATATGCTCTTTACAGAAAAAAAAAATCAGAAAAAATAAATGAAAAGCTTTTAAAAAATTCCGTTAACAAAAAAAAAAGTTAAATGTTAATGTTAAAACACTTGTGAAACACAAAATTTATTCTAAGAGAACAAGAGGAAAAAAAAAAAATATTTAACTTATAAAAGGAATTTTTTTTTTTTTAGCCTAGCGCAGTTATTTTAAACGATTGTAAATTTACATGGAAAACATTTTCTATTGTGAATTAAATGAGATTTAATATAAAAGGAAATTTGAGAGTGAGAACAGTATAATTTTTAAATAATGAGTAAATAAAATTTTTATTGTTTAAATTAATACCCTATATGAATGATGGTATGTTATTGAAGTGATTTTGATTTTATATGAATACCAAAGTTAAAAGGTTTTAATTTAAAATAATCATAATTTTGGGAAAATGTAAATTAAATTTTTGAAATATTAAATTCTATATTATGGAAGTTTTCATTTGTATTCGTTTAAATTTTCATATTATACAAGGAAAATTTTTCATATACAAATGTTGGAGAAAACGATTAATCGGAAGTTTTGCTAGTCAAGTTAGGAAATTTCCGTTTCGAACTGAAAATTTGACTGTACATAATAAATATTCTGCGTTCAGAAATAATATTTGCGTTCAAAAATAATAAAATTATTGAATTTGAGTTTTGTGAGGCAGTTCGGACACTTTTACTTGCTGATATACGAAATTGCACGAATAATATTATTAAAAGAAACAATAATTTTAAATTATAATATAACTGGTAAATGTACATTAAATTGTAAAATATGTAAATTAATTATTAAATAGATATTAGATTATTTTTCATTTAAGAAGATCATTTAAGGCTCATTTTAAGAAGATCAATAGTACCAGATATCCCCAAAATATAAAATATATATTGTTTGATTCAGATTGTAAGTAATTTGTTGTTAATTTTCAAATGAACTTTCAAGTTTCTTAAAACACACACATCGAAGATCCTTAATTTATATTATTAATAGTTAGAAGGATCCTTAATTATAGAAGAAGATCTTTAATTTATATTAATAGTTAATTTATTAAATCAAAGTTATTACGGTAATTGCTTAGTATGTTAAATGCATGGTAATGGTAAGTTATATAGTTAAAAATCACAGGCTATCATGATGCAAACGTCACAAACCTCAATGTATAGATTTCTAAATTAAACGCAGCAATTTTTGAACAAGCAACTACTGTATATAAAAAGTCATAGAAAGTCAAGAAAAGAAGCATCTCTGTATATGCAACGTGTGCATTCTGTAACATAAGATACCAATTCTTTTAAAGTTTCTTTAATAATCTTATTTAATAAATAAGAATTAAATAACTAATGAAAGTGTAAATTTTTTATTTAAGATTGTAAAAACAAAAATATTTCAGACTATATTTTATTTTTTCAAAAATTTTCATTTTATATTTGTTTTTAGTTTCTATAGTTTCTCTTAAATATATATATATGTATATATATGTATATAATAATCCATTATACAATTTTTACGATTCATAAAAACAAACAATAAATATAAAAAAAAAAATAAGCTATTATTATATTATATATACACAAACATTTAATTTTCTTTAATAATAAAAACATTATATACACTTACGCATTAGACAAACATATATAGCGCCATCTGTTGTTTTAATAGTTGGTGCCTCTGAACTTTGAAATGTTTTCTGAAAAAGATATAAAAAGAAAAAAATTAAATAAATTTAAACAAAAACAAAAAATTTAAGAAAAATAAAATTAATAATAAAATCTGTTCTTAAATATTTTTTACAGTGTTGCCGTAGCAAAAGAAAAAAAAAAATGTCGCTATATATCTATAAAAATTCTCTTATTATTTGTATAAATTTTAGAACCAAGAAATCCGCTAAAATCTAATTATTCGAATTGATTTAAAATAGGATTTTCAAAATTCAAGAAGAGTTTTCACATCTCATAGGGGAAGTTCTCTTTTGTAACAAGTCAAGACTCTATTGCTGGTTTATTAAAAAAGTCTGCTCGTTTTTCTCTTTTTACATAGCTGAAGTTTTAAAAATTTTTCTCCAGTATTTTGCTTAATCAAAATTGCTAAAACGGCATCTCTGATTTTCTTTTATCTCTTTTATTGGCAATTTAAAAAAAACTAAGAGAGAAATTTTCTCTTGATTTTCTAAAAAAAAAGATATCATAATGAATTCATAATAAATCATAATTAAATAAAAAAAAAATATGTTTTGCAAATGTGTGTGTGAATGTATTGTGTGAATGGTGTTTTTCTTTGGTTATAAGTTAAAAATTATTTTTTAATGTCTTTTTCCTTTTCTTAAGAAATTATTAAAAAATTTATTTGGCCGATATTTAAAATTTTTTTGTTCAAAATTTGGTTTCTTCATGTGATTACCAATAGCATCTTTTAAACATGATATATTCCAAATGTTCATTGATTAATTTTTAAAAACGAAAAATGAGACAAAAATATTTAATTTGAATACTTAAATTTTAAATAATTAAAATAAGCCAAATTTATAGGTATTGAGTTGAATAGCCTGGCAATTCTAATTCATAAATCCTGAAATTTATGACCATCCTGCTAATATAATGTTTTGAAAATTTTTAATTTTTGTTATTTATCGGTAAAATCTGCAAAAGAACTCATGGTTAAATTATTTTCGAAATTTTGAGTTCCTATATTCATCTTTTTATTCAGCTTTTATTCATCTTGTCGGTGAAAATGGTAGTTGGCAGAATTCTTTTATATAATAGAGTATATCCGTAGCTAAATATGCAATCTTAAATATTTTGTAAGAAGTATTTTACAAATTCTCACAGTATTGCAAATGAAATTTCAATGAAAATTATGTTGGTAATAATTATAGCATTTTAAAATTGTTTAAGACCACTATAATGTTGCCAATTTCTATTGTGAAGTTCATTAACATTAAACAATTAAATTTTGTGTTTTATTTTAACGGTAAATTGATTTGTTATCTTTATGCATTAAAATTTGATTTTTTCAATTTCGTTGTTCTCAGCATTTTTTAATGTTCATTTAAAAAAAAACACAGAAATAACAATTCATTTTTAATGCGTTTCTGTTAAATTTCAAAATAAAATATTTAAGAAAAAGAAAAAAAATGGGCAAGTGGGCAAATAACCACATCATTTTAATTTATTATTTTAAAAAATTATGAGGTTTTTGAATTTTAAATCATAAAAACAAAAAAAACAAAAAAAAAATTCAAACATAAATAAAATAAAATTTCTTTTTTGTAAAAAAAAAGTATTTAGAAAAGATTAATGGTTAGACTTTATATGAAATAATGGTGATTTCTTTTTTGACAACTTAATGACTTCAAATTTTTATAATCTACATTATATTTTTAAATAGAAACAAAAAAAAATGTAGTCGTACAGATATTAAAAATCATTTATTTTTTAAATTCAGAAAATATTAAAAATTTTTGTAAAAAAACATAGTCATTGTACTATGCACATGACAATAAAATCATTTATAAAATAATAAGGTAGAGACCTTGAACCAAATAATGATTTTATACATAAGAATACATGTTGAGTATTGTATATAAGAATGAAATGTTCAGTGCATATAAAAGATTCTAAAATTTTTGAGAATTATAAAGGATGCAAATATTTGCTTCATCTCAATTTTAGTTTTTAATTTAATATATAGGCAGTAGTTTATGTAATTATTAAAGGATCAATCATCTGATATTAAACTGCGGTACGAATTCTTCAGGTTTAGCGCATAATAATATTCCGCATAATAAATTATTTTCTTGTACTTGTAACTTTATCTTACTGAATACAATATTAGTCGTAGAATTAAAGTTTCGCATTCAATTTTCAGCTTCTTGTTTCGCAACGTTTATATATTGGTACATGCAAAACACGTAACGGAAATATTTCTTTTTTTTTTTTAGATAACTAACATTTTTTATTTTAATTTTTCAATGACGCCCTGTGATCTGCGCCCATTGCAAACGCTTTCTTTGCATATATTGTAGATCCGCCTCTGTCGGTATCGATTAATTGATCATATGAGAATATTTTAAATTAATGGTTATTAAATAACGGAAGAAGCTACGGCAGTCTAAGTGACCCGCTTAGCTATCCCAATGATTATAAAGAAACTGAGTATGATTCTATTATGAAATCATACTATAGCCCTATACTCCACTTAAGAGTGAAAAAGAAAGGAAACGATAGATATAAATAACAAGTGAATAATCTATTTTACAAATATTTTAAATTTAAGTTTTAAGAGATGCTATCAAAAGCCAAGTCATAAATTAGAATAAGTACATTTCTTGATAAAATCATATAGTAAAGTTACTGTTGTAGTACTGGGAAAAATTGCAATTGTATATAGGGAATCAATAAAAATATAAATTATTTATATATACAAAAATGGAATAAATACGAGTATAGCACAATATATAATTTTCTCCATTTCAATAAAATATTACAGGAGATTAAAAATTTTCAATAAAATTTTAGAAAAATAAAAGTAATTAGAAAAAATTATGCTTTATTTGAATTATGTAAGTAATGAACTCAAATTATGTAAGTGAGTGAAAACAATAAAGTACATAATTATTACACAAAATAATTTTTTCTCTCCTTATATATTTCCGTTTTACCTTATTCGGGGAGTGTTGGCACGAGCAGCAAACATTTAAGTTTATAAAAAAAAAAATTCAACAAAACAATATTCTAATAAATTAAATTCATAATTAGATTTAATATAACAATAAATTGTTCAATTGTTTCTTCCTCTTCCTTGGGCCTTCATTCATTCATTTATTCCCTACCCATAATCTTAAAGAATTTAATTATCAATGAGTCAAAATTTGAAAACAATTCGCCACTTTTAATATAATGTTATTTAAAATTTATTATTTATCATGTTTTGAATATTAAATTTAATAATTTTTTTTTTTATAAAATTTATATGTAATAATAACATTTTCTTTTGTTATAAATTATACACTTTTTATGTGTATGTAACATATTATAATATACAGTCGATTTCAAAATTTTTTTGTGCACATGTTAATATAATAATAAGGATCACTTACAATTTTCTTAAAAAAAATATAATTATAATATTGAAAAAAGTCTTGAAGAAAAGCATTTTCTTTTGAAATTGTTAGAGCTAACGTGCCTCATTCTAATCATAAAAGTTAAATCAAATTGCAAGAAATTAATAAAAGCTGCAATTGTTTTTGAGATTCTACCCTTTATTAAATAATAAAATAAGAAAAAACCGTAGATTTTAATTACCGATCTTTTAACGCAACACTACCAGATCCAATTAAAATTCAAATGATTTTAAGAGTTTTATAACCACGTACAAGAATTCGGCTAATGACTCCTTACCAATTTTAGTTATGTATAGGAGCTTTCCAATAAAAAGTTCTTCATTCATTTATACACAATTTTTTATGTATTAATCACTACCAATCCAATATCGCATAACATCAACGCTTTTTCATTTTAATTATACCCGTATATTCGAAGGAACTTTGCCAAAACAAATATGGTAAAATGGCAAGTATATTCGATGTAAGCTGTTGAAATGGCATAAGCGCTTGCGATAGCTATCATACAATTTTAAAAGTTATTTGGCCATGTCTCAGAAATTATTCAGCAAACAATAAAGGAATTTTAAATATTTGAGCAAGCGGTTGTTATATTTAGTAAAAGCTGTTGAAATTTCTCGATTGCTTGTGGTACCTTCCATAAAACTTCATAAATTGATCATAGTTGCAAAACTGTTAAAGTTACAAAGGTAAAATTTTGAATAAAAAATTTGATGATGTGGCCATTATTTTTGGTAAAACTATTTTAGATTCGATGAGTTTGTATGGTGACAACCGTATATGTACAAAATAATACTTGACATCTATAAAAATTCAAGAGGTTGTATAAAACTGTATGTCATTTTACTTCAATACTTAAAATCATTAATTTGTACGGGTATCACAGAGTTGGCAGAGCCAACAATATCTATTCTTGTTTTACATGTTTATGTACAAAGAAATTATTAGATCGACTGTATATACTTACATAAAAACATTATAATTATGTGATAATTTTTATGATTTATTAAAAAATTATTTATGAATTGTAATAAATTTAATAAAACAATCAACTGATCAACTCTTCATGTTCTAATTTATTGCAGTAATTTTTAATACTTATGTGTAAATATTTAATTTTTTTATTATAGGCTTGAACTCATATAACATTAAAATGGGCTTCAATATAAAAGAAAAATCTGTAATTTATTTTAGATTAAAAATACAAAAAAAAAAAACAAAATTTACATACAATTAATTGTAAATTTAAATTTTAAAATTTGTTAGCCTTATTTTTTTTACAACTTTTAACAATTAGAAAAAAAAATTTTGTATATAGAAAGTTCATAAATAGAGAAACAAATGAATTATATAGAAATTTTTCTTTTAATTGTTTTTCTATTCTATTTATTTCCAAAAAAAAAACGTGCAGGTTAAAGACCTTTTTTGGACATTTTAGAGTTCACGGAGTAAAAATTTATCTATGTACGAAATCTAAAAAGTACGTGTTTGTAATGAACGTGTGCAAGTTTTTTGTTAACAATGAAAAGCTTAATTTTGTTGAGAATTGATGAGAACTTACAATTCTT